AGACCTAGAGCAGCTGCCCCTTATCCAAGGGGGCATGCTCCAGGACCCCACTGTACACTTGGATCTTGGGTAGTATTGAATCCTGTATATTCCTTGTCTTTTTCTATACACATAGACCTACAATACAATTTAAAATATGAATTAAGCAACATTAACTAATAATAAAATAGACAATTATAATAATACATTATAATAAAAGGTAAATGTGATCTCTTTCTTGTTTCTTGAAATATCCTATTGTGGTGTATCGTCCTGATGATGATGATAGTTTGAGGAGTGTCTTGGTTACTTTTCTCTCCTGGCTGAGACAAGATACCCAACACCCAGAATTAAGGAAGGAAAGGTTTTTTTGGCTCACAGTTTGTCGAGGTTTCAGTCCATAATCAGCTGGCTCCAAGGCAGGGTGGCAGGGCACAGAGGCAACAGTTCAAGGTGGCAGAAGACAGCAAAAGCAATGAGAGCAAAGGGGAGGAACAAGCTTTCTCTCCCTCTATTGCATGCTGGCTATCTACCCACGCCCACACCATCTCTGTGCCCTCCTCTTTCACAAGCTGAGGATGTTTATAAAATAAGGACCCTGGCCCCCTGCTGAATCACTTAGTTAAACTTTTTAAGGTGACACAATGAATAACATCCTAGAGTGGTAAGGGCATGTCCTTTTCACCCCAGGATGTAGTACTGCTGAGTTACTTAGTTAAACTTGTAGACTTCAAGATGATACAATGTATAAACCATAACAAGGGGATACAGTGCTTTACTAACTGAGGTCAGTGACAGAGGCACTGTGACACAGCTTGAGGGTGCTGCTAAGGCTTGCTTGAACAGACACTGGGACACCAAGATAGTTGATTTGCTAGCAACACCACTGCTATGACTAAGGTGGTGTGTATACCATGGGACACGGCACAAGCATGGTTCACACACTAGTGGGGCAATTTGAGATCGCCTTGCACAAATCAGAATTGCATGCAATTTAAAACTATGAGCTGCTCATTTCTGGAATGTTCTGTGTAGTGTTTCCTATTGCACTTGACTGTGAGTAATGCACACTGCAGAGATAAAAACCAAAGATACAGACTGCTAGGCCCAGGGTGGGTACAGGAGAGGTGTTGCTGGGCTCATGGGCCATGACCAGCCATAAGCTAAACCGGGCCGCAGTCATTGCCAAGCTGGTCATGGGGTAAAAGTTGATAGAAAGCGGCCAGCAGAACTAGTGACTGTCTGTTTTGTGGCAGTCAGGGAGGACACAATGGCTGTGCTCTGCATTCTGTGTCACTGTGATGGCCCAACACTGGCAGTCATGAAATCCTTTCTCCTGTTGCTGTCACTCCCTGCAGCTGGAGTGTGGGCTTATGTGGGTCTCCTGTCACACAAGTCTGCCTGCTCCTTCACTTTTATGTCTTTGCATCAGTAATCCAGGTCACTGTGCTTTCAGAGCAGTTCTGTCCTTTCCCGCCCAGAGTTACTGATGAGTCTCAGACACAGGTCCCTTCTCCTGGACCGAGGGTAGGTGTGCTGCAGCCGGCACAGGGGAGCTATTTCAGTCCTCCACGGCTAAGCATGTAGGGCAGCACACTTCAGGTGAACTTACCTTCCTTCCTTTCTTTTTTCCTTCCTTCCTTCTTACTTCTCTCCTTCCTTCCCTTCTTCCCCTTTCCCTCCTCCCTTTTTCTTCCCTCTGTCCTTCCTTCCTTCCTTCCCTCCTTCCTTCCCTCCTTCCTTCCCTCCTTCCTTCCCTCCTTCCTTCCCTCCTCCTCTCCCCTCCCCTCCCTCCCTTGCTCCCTCTCTCCTTTCTTTGTTTCCTGCTACTGAGTATGCATTTAAAGTAATCTTTAAATCACAAAATTTATATATGAAGGGCCACATATTCTGTGATTCCATTTGAATAAAATGTCCAGAACAGGTCCATCTGTAGAGCAGATAAGTGGTTCTGAGGGTAGGTACTTTCCTGAAGGGTGACAGCGAGTGTAACAAGGTTTCTTTGGGGATGATGAAATGTCTTGGAACTTGATGGGGATGGTGGTTGCAGAACCTTATGAATATATTAAACTCCATTAAATTATGCACTTCAACATGAAAAATACTTGAAATTTTATAGTGTATGAGTTGTAGTGCTGTAAAAAGAAATTGATGATTGTTCACTGCAGAGACATTTAAAAATAAAATAAAAGAAGAAATTTAAATGATGGTGGTTTTAATACCAGATGGCTAATGGCAATGTTTTGATGTGTGCATGTTGAGGGAGCAGTTTTTGCTGATATTTTCATTTTGTTTCCTCTGCATTGTTCTTAACCCTTTTTAGGGCCAGGAGGAGCCCTCTTGGGGTTGCTGAAAGCACAGGACCACATCTCACTTGTGCCGTCGTCCTCATTCACAGCCTGCCCATCGCGTGTCGCTGAGCCATGTCAGGAGGTGCCAGTATCTTCAGTGAGGACAGCCATCCTGTCCTAAAATTTATGTGGTTCTTCAATTTCAAAATATAAATCATGTTGTTTTTCCATTAGCAAATAATAGCTGAGCCTGGCTTTGTTGGAACTGGTCAGTTCCAAGGCTCTCAGTGAGGGAGCATCCTGGGCGAGTTCCCTGTATCACCGCCAATTTGGTCACGCCCAAGTCCCAGTGCCTGTGGGGCTCTGTGGGCAGCCCAGTGGGACTGCTTCAAGTATCACCTGATTTGTCCAAAGGCATGGGTAAGACACTTTCACTCAGGTGACCCCCAGTCCTTCTGAGGAGAGCAGTGAGGCTGAAAGACAATCAAACCTGCGTGTAGCAGCAGGACAGCCGTAGACTCACAGCACTGATGACAGTAGCTATAAGCCGTACATGTGCGCATGTATCCCCTGCCACCTTTCCACAGTGGCCCAGGGATGCCAGAGCTTATTTTTCTCTAGGGGCATGTTTATTTGACTGTTTCACAGCACTTGTCTATTTCTAAGCAGTTAGTAGTTTTTATGCCTCTTTTCAGTATATGTGTACACGGTACTAGTGTGTTTGATTTTGTGTGGATTTCATTTAAACAGTGCTTAGTGATAGTACATGTAATATGCCAATTTAAAACTTCAAATCCAGACTGAAGTCTTTAATGTTTTGGCAAAAATTTGGTGACTGACCTGCATAGCTCTCCTGCCTTGAGCAGTTATAGGATGAAAATACATCAGTTATCAGCCCCAGGAGAGAATGCTGGGATTACCTTAGGGAGGTGCACAGTTTGGGGCAAGAGTTTATAAAGATGTTACTTCTGAGTAGTAGGTAAAAGGTATTTTATGCAGGATGGCATGAGGAAGTTTGGACCAGAAGTGATGGGAAGAATGGAACGAAAACCCTTGCTGCATTCAGAAACAAGCTTGCCCTGCAGGTGGGGAAGGAGTCAAGGCCAATGTAGACTTTTTGAGTCACGTAATGCAGGGACCACTGGACCAGAGAGGATGAGAGGACTGGCTTCACAGACTCCAGCAGGGTCTCAGGGTTGGACAGCCAGTGTTCACTTCAGGGGACAACTGAAGGTTCCTGGCTAGCCTGGTTCTGTCTGAAAATCACCTGCCCTTCTTAATTAGATCTGAGCTTTTCTAAGACTTCTTCTTGTTTTTTTTGTTTTTTTTTTTTTTTCTTTGTCTTTTTTCGAGACACGGTCTCACTCTGCAGTTCAAGCTGGCCTTGAGCTCACTTTGTAGCCCAGGCTGGTCTCAAACTCACGATCCTCCTGCCTCAGCCTCCCGAGTGCTGGGATTACAGGTGTACACCACCACACCCGGCTTAAGTAAGACCTCTTCTTAAGAGGCATTGGAGGTACCCCAGTGGTTTGTTAATTCTTGGCTTTTATTTATTCACTAGGTGGAGTCACCCAATAGTGAATTATAAACTGCCTTTGGTAGACTTTTCAGAATGTGTAGTAGATACAGTAACATCCAGTTCAGCATTTTTAAGTGTATTGTTCAGCGGCCCTGAGTGAATTTCTAATTGGTGTGCACCAGTCTCCATGATATAGCTTCAGAAATTTGTTGTCTTCCTGTGTTGAAATTGTGTCTCCATTTAACAGCTCCCCAAGGCCTCCATCCAGTACCATGCTACCTTCCATCTCTAAATTTGCCCACTCCAGGGACCTCACATGAGTGGAATCGTAGAGTATTTGTCCTTTTGTGTCTATGGCCCTTCCACAATCACCTCCTGTAATACCGAATGACACCCTGCCCTGTGTGTGAACCAGGCTCTGGCAGGCTTTTGATGCCATAAACCCAGTACTCTCCAGGAAACACCTGTCAAGTCCCCCTGGTTTCACCATACCTGACCCTCCAGGAATGGCACCCATCGGGGCCTAGCTTCTGGGTGAAGCCTGGAAGGAAATGTGCATGGTTTGGGACCAGTTGGGATATGGACACAACCTTGCCGGTGTACCTGTCCCCCAGGACACAGAACAGGCATCTCACAGTCCCATCCAGAGCAGGTGAAACTTGTGCTTGGCACTAGTGTCAGTGCACTTGAGCTGGCTTCTCCCACTGACAACCTCGGCTCAGCTGAGGCAGCCCCTGTGTGTGTTGGGGAGGGACTGCATCTAACTGTGAACATGAACAGATTTCTACCACTTATCATTGTGGGAGAGATTCATATAGGGGTTGGGCCATGGGTGAGTTCTTTAGAAATTCTCCAATTGTGAATCCATCAGCTGTTTACCAGGCATCTCAATCTGGCAGCACCCGCCGCCTTTGTGATGGACCTGTGCTTGACAGCCAGTGCTTGTGCCTCTTCTTTCCGCTCATTCCTGGCTCCCCTGCCCCAGGACCCTTGGCCTTGCTCAGGAGTTAACTTCCTGTCTGTGTTGCAGGGCAGTGCCTGGCTGTTCTGTGTGAGGCATGGTTAGAAGACCCTTTACTGGGTGTCACCTGGTGCAGCTGCTGCCCTCTGGAGGTCACCATAGTGCCTTACCTTCTACCTCCGTCTGCCTGAGAAGCAAGTCAAAGCCCTCTGAGGTTGTTTAATGTGTGTGTCATGTTCTTTTTTTCCAGGTGAAGTGGAGGTTCCGGATCCCAGTGACACTTTGGGACATCTTGATGGACAAGAAGGACCTATTCCCACTCTGAAAGGTAAGCTAGTGAAGGTCTTTTCACATTTCCAGATATTCAGGGATGGACCTGGCTGAATTAACGTGGTGGTGGCCTTGCCAGCGCTGCCCCCTGTCGGTGGGCATGTGGAATGCCCCCTAGATGCCTTTACCTAAAGGAGGGGTGCTGGGGCTCACTGAAGTTCTGGGGAGCAGTGCTTGCTCTTCATGCACTGGTCCAGAGGTGGGTGGATCTTGGGCAGGTGTGCACGCTCCTCCACGCTGCCACCAGTGGACAGGTCCTGTCCTTGCTACCATGGCCTCTCTGGGTGATGTGCTCTGGCACCCTGCTCACATCGTGGACATCCTGTCTGTAGAGCTGGTAGAATAAAGTCTGGGGCAAAACAGGTGTAGACCAGGTACTGGAGGATGTGACACACCTCCAACTCACACACTGTCACCACGTATATGGAGAGGTCTGGGTCATCACAGGCCAGTCAGTTTCTCTGTGCCAGAGGCTGGGAGTTCAGGGTCAGGTGTGAGCATGTGGAGGGCCCTCTTCCTGCCCTGCAGAGGGCCGTGTGACCTTTTCCCATGGCCCTCACACGGTGGGCAGAGAGTAGCCCTTCCGATTCTTCTATGAGGACATGAATGCTGTCGCGGGACCCTACCCTCTTGGCCTCATCTAAACCCAAAGGGCCTCTGGCAAGGACTCCACACGGGCTGGGCTTTGCCCTCTGGACTTGAGAAGAGCACAGAGGCATCCTGTCTTAGTTCCCTGTTCCTACCACAGCCGGGGGGGTTTATAAAGAGTAGAGTGAGCGTGGCTCAGGGTTGGGGGAGGCCTGCCCTCAATACCGTATCACATCCTCCCATGTGAACCTGGGGGACACACCCAAACTGTAGCACCTCACAATTGCTCCCCAGTGTGTAAAGGGATGGGGTTGAGGGGATCTAGAAGAGGAAGTCGGATTTGGGGACAGACTGAGGTACCGAGATCTGAAGCACGTATGGCACGAGGTCACAAGGGGAGGGGAGAGCATGTCCTACACAGGACAGCTTTGGAAGCTCGGAAGGGAGTGGTGCGGCTGATGGGATGGCAGTGGGAGAGGGCAGGAGTTAGCAGGGTAACCCTGCAGTGTGGTTCAAGCTGCCAATCACACGTGACACTTTTAAGCTTATCAGTAAAAATGAAATTAGGAACTCAGTTCCTCAGTCAAACTAGCTGAATGTATGTGTCTAGCAGCTCTTATGATAGCTGGCACAGATCTAGAACATTCCAGCCACACAGGAAGTCCCCTTGGGCTAAGCCAGGCTGCATCCTGCTCCAGTCTTGAGGGCACAAGAGAAATGTGTATTTTACTGATAGTTGTCAAATATGTCAGGCTAGGAGGCATAGGATTAGATTCACTCAATGAAAATGTGCTACTGGCAGCCCCATGGATTGATGGCGGAGAGGCAGAGGGCAGTGCGGAGCGGGGTGGGGCTCCCAGACCAGACTTTGGTAGGAAATTCTGTGTGCAGTCATCCTGTGGGGCTGTGAACACTCCTTGGAAATGTGCCTCAGCTGTGCTGAGATGCACTGTGAACTCGTAGCACCTGGATAGAGAGGTACAAGGGCATCCTTGTGGTTCTGAGTCTGGGTATGGTGGAGGTGGAGTCTCTGTTTAAATATAGTTGTCATAAATATGCCCCGTGAGGTAGAAACATCCATGACTCACCTCAATGGAAGTTGCATCTGTTTATGGAGGTGTAGAAATGACTGTAAGCTAATTTAATAGAAACTTTTGTTCTCATCTAGCTGTAAGCGCCAAACATTGATAAGATGAATTCAGAGCCCTAGGCTGGGATTCTTTGACCTCCCTTTTTGGTCTTTGCGCAACTGCTCAAGCTTGGAGGATGCTTGTTAACGAGCTCTTTGTTTATTTGGGACTTGATTGCCTCCTAACTGTTTTTGTTGTTAACCCACAAGTGATTGAGTGCTTCTGTGAGTCTGCAGTGGGGAGAGTAGTTTTAATCAGAGTTTGGAAGTTTGCCTTGGATCTCTCCAGGGTACAGAAAGACTGATTGCAGAAGGTGACTGTCAAGAAGGCATGTGTGTGCCTGCATGTGTGCACACATACATACTTATAAAAAGGAAGTGCAAAGGGAAAGCAGAGAACCCCAGAACTCTGGGCCGTACTTCTTGCAGTGGCTGTGTAGCAGCACACAGTGCAACATCAGCTTTGCAGAAGACAGACCTGGTGGAGGTGGCCTTGGGACTGGCCTTTGGTGCAGTACTGCTCTGGCCCAGCCTCCCCAGCCCTGGCAGGCAGGAAAGGCCTTGCTTATTAGCTCACAGCAAGCACCCAGTGCAGTGGCTGATGCTGGATGCTGTGGGTTTATCAGTTTCCACAGGACCATAGTCTCCCTTGCAATCATATTTTCTGGTTATGTACTATGATTTTCCATTTTCTGCAGGGTTGTGGCTCTGGCATTAAAGGATACTCACTCCTTCCTTTCTGCCATCCACCCATAGCCAGACACTATCAACGATGGAGGAAGGGACCTGGGAGTGCCACTCTGAGCAATGTCTAGAGTATCAGTGCTCTGGGAATGTCACTGCATGGTTGTATGTAACATAAATCAGAACATAAAGCAGTAATGGCTGAATGTATAGTGTTCACTGTGTCTTTAGTCCATTGATCATTCATGATGCAGGCACATCTGTAAACCTCGGATAGGTGAAATGGGCCAGTCTGTTGGTGACATGACAGCTCTACCTTGGACCCACAAAGTAGAATGTGAGTCAGCTGTAAAGAGTAGTTCTGTTTAGATGTGCAGTACTCACAGTCAGCCCTCAGTATCTATGGGCTCCATGCCCAAGGATTCTTCCAACTGTGGGTCAAAAATATTGTTTAAAAACTATGTCAGAACTGGATTTGTACAGACATTTATTTCTTTCTCATTCCCTAAATAGTACAATAAAACAATTGTTAGCACATAACATTTGCACTGTATTGGGCATTGTAAGTAATCTGCAAATGATTCAAAGTACAGAATCCTGCAATCAGAATAGTGGAATGAATTAAGGAATGAATTAAGTTCATGAACTGAGGTACCATCATATAGGGAAGTGTGCGTAAGTTACATGCAGATACTGTGCTGTTTCATATAAGCAATTTGAATGTCTGCAGATTTTAATATTGGAGGGAGGGCCCTGGAACCAGTGCTTGGCAAATACCAAGGGGTGACTGTGGCTGGTATTCAGTATAGAACAAGGAATACAGAAAGACCAGATGGTGGGGGTGGGGGAACAGGTCCCTGAGCCAAAAAGGATGCTGATTTACAGATAAAGATTACTGTAAATTTCCATATTGCAAAGTGCTGTCATTGGCAGGATGAAAGCTGACCTCAGAATTCCAGTTAGAGTACTGGGTTAGCTCAGGAGTGGATGCTGAGTAGGAATTTTATATTCTCTGTTCTATTAGACATGCAATATAATATACAAGCATATATGCAACATGTTATTATTGGATTACTTACCAAAGCCCAAATTTAGCCTAGAAGCTACTTGCTTTTTTGTTCCAAGACTGTATTTTAAATGCATGTGTAATATAATTTGTGTTTTGTAGAATCAGTACTTTGGAATGTTTGTGGGAAGTGGATAATTTCTGCATGCCGGGGTCGGGTGGAGCTGATCTTGCTTGGCTGGTGGCCTCCTGTATTCTGGCTTAGCCAAAAGAGCTGCAGTGTGCTGGGCCTCCTTTCTTAGGAGAGCTGTTTGTGTCGATGTTCAAACCAGAGGAGAGTTCTGAGGTTCCCCATGGGAGGACAGATTATAATTACAGGTAATCTCAAGTGAATTCTCAATAACAGGGTAGGCAATCCACGCTCACTTGCCTTGTATATACCAAGCTGCCCTGCTATGTGTGATGGGGGAAGCAGTGCTGAACCAAACTTTCCTTGGGAAGAGTTGGGCAAGCAGCCCGAGGAGTGTGCTGTGTTGCCATGGAGATGGTGCCTGATTGTCAGTTTCTTGATTGGTGTAGGTCAGGGGCACTGATGGGCAAATACATTGGGTATGTTTCTGGTTCCTGCTGGAATTGGCGTGTGTGTGTGTGTGTGTGTGTGTGTGTGTGTGTGTGTGTGTGATGGCTTCTTAGATTTAGCAGAATGAAGCACTCCCAGGCCAACCAGGTAGAAAATGAGAGCAAGATCACAATGGCAGCCTGGTCATTATAACATCTATGAATTCCATGAGAACTGGATGCAGCTTCTGGCTGAGTGTAGTGAGTCTGGTGCCTGCACCCCTGCCTGGCCAGTCACCCAGATATTCCAAGCTCCAATTTCTTCATCTAAAACACCATGAGTGTTCATCCTTAATGTTGTCATGTGCTGTTGTCCCCTTAGACAGAAGGGACACTCCCTAGAACGGAGCGTGTCCAAGTGCCCACAGCAGAAGAGGCAACAACCCATTTGCTGCAGCACTGAGGAGCATCCCCGCCAGGTTGATGCAGCTTGTCCCTGGGATTCCTTACATTTTACAAGGTACAGAGTAGACACAGAAGTTGGGCTGAGATTCTCCAGAGGCCATGAAGGGAGGCATGAACTTAAGTAAGGATGCACAGCGGAATTGGTGCAGTCGGCGCATGGCTCAGGTGCTCTGTGAAGTGGGTCATTCTCTGGTATCCATTGTTCCCTTCCCTGCCAACTGAGTGAGTTCGTGCCTTTGTCAACAGTAGAGTTGAGACACATAGGGCCAGAAGGACAGTAACATGAAGAGTGCAGAGGCATAGATGTGCACAGGAATCTGTACCCTGATGGCAGGGCAGGCTCCGGCAAGGACGTGGCCTGTGCTCTGTCTGTGTATCGAGCAAGAGCTTACTGAAGCCTACTAGCACCTCATCCTGTGCTCTGTGGTGTTGCGTAAGGAAAAATGGCTTCTCCACCCTCCTTGGCTCTGTAGCTGGGTCACAGTTTAAGCTGATAGGAGACAGATTAACAGGAAAACAGATAAACACAGTAGATGCACAGAGAGCAAGGTAGATTCTCCACATCCCA